AATAGATTAAGCTAATAAGAAAATGTTACCGACGTGACTTATGTGTCAGTAATTTTAAATATTTAAAATTTTATTTTTTAAATAAATTACCGACGTGTTACCTTGCGTCAATAATTTCTCATTTTATACATTTTATTTTTTAAAAAAATTACCAACGCAATATTTTGTGTCAGTAATTTTCTATTTATACATTTTATTTTATTAAAAGATTATCGACACATTTTTGCATCAATAAATTTTTATTTTAAATTTTTAATTTTGTAAAAAATTACCAACGCAAAGATATGCATCAGTAAATTTTTTCGACGCAAAGTTATGTTAGCAATTGAGTCGATAATTTTTTCTAATCCAAATTCATGTCGGTAATTTCATTGGTAGCGTCAGTAAATGTGTTGAAAATATTTACGACACAAATTTGCGCCGGTATGTGTCGGAAAATTTTTGAAACAAATTTATTTCGGTAATTGCATTGGTAAACTGTCCAAAATGCCTGCAATGCTAATTTTTTGTTGAAAATTTCAATATTTCTTGTAGGGTGATAGGGTTCCAAAAATCTATAGAAATGCTTCATTGAAAACAGTGAAACCTTGGGAACGCCTCTTCTAGAATGTGAATTTTAGAATGTCTAGAGGTGTTTAATTAGAAGGGCAAAATGCCTAGAATCCTCTGTGGCTTAATAGCAATTAGAAGACCAAGGGAAGATCACAGTTCCGGATGGGATTCTTTATAGGGTTGTTGCTTTGGCATTAATTGCTAGGATAGCTAGGAACTGCTCTGTGCTACAAGACCTGGGTATAGAAGACTTAAAGAAATAACCTATAAAGAATGTCAGAAAAAAGATCAATCTTTCGGGAGGGGGAATCGTTGAGCTGCTTTAGCTGAACTTGTTGTGTGTGACTGTTGGTTGTCTTCTCAAACTGAGTTGTCTCCCTTACTTGGCCTTACATTCTTTCCTCAATGCCATTTCTCCACTTTTCTCAACATGTTTATAACTGCCTCTTCCTTCTTGGATTTCTGCATCTTGCTCACATCTCATCTAAGAGGTTGTTTGCTAAGTTGGATAAGACATGATAAGATATGACAAGTTTTAAGATAAAATATCTTAACCACATAATGATCTGGACAATTATCTTATTTGATGGAGGTGGCAAAAGTGGCAGCTAGTGGTAGTAGTTCGGGTATTATTGTCCAAAACATTTTAGTAGGGGTTTGATAAAATTATCCTACCCCTCTCTTCCGTATAATTTATCCAAATTTGGCCTTACTATTATCCAATCTCTCTCATGCCTGAATTTTATCCGATCCTATTTTATCCTACCTACCAAACGTAGATAAGGATAGGATAAGGGTGGATAAACTATCCTTATCCACACTTATCTCGTATACCAAATGAGCCCTAAGTTCATTAATCCCTTGAGATTCGTAGTCTCAATGCTCATAGCTTTTTACATTAGACAAACATCAACCTCAAATATTCATCATAGTATTTTTACTACTAAAAATTAAGTTTACCATGATGCATTACATGTGTTAGCATGTTGCTATCAATGAACTATGTTGACGTGTCCAACGCGTGGCAAAGCTCTGAGAAATCATTCAAAACACAAATAAGTTAAAACGACACAGGCTATAGTGACACTGTGTTATGTGTCTCCACAAACGGAAAAGGGCAAGAAATGCTGATCTCGAAATCCAGACAACTACTTATGGCAGAGATAGAAATTTGATAAATATGATCAAATATTTTAACATGTAAAAATTGAGACAAGATAAAAATAAAAATTCTATTCTATCTTAATAGTCCATAAATACAGTTGTAGTTACATTTACAAGAAAGGGTCACGAAACACTTCTGATTTTGAAAACAATTTTGCCAATATTTTTGAAAACAAATTCATGAAATACTTGTTTTCTGCCTAATATTTATAATAGCTATAATAGGTGGAATGGACTGGACGTAATTTGGTCCAGCAGAAACCACAATTGTTGAAACAGTCGGTGTTCATTAATATCTTTTGGACCACCAACCATAGAAGCAGCAGTAATCTTCTCTTCGTCAGCTTGATGGACCAGAAACCATCGCCACGTGCACCCTCATGTTTACCTCACAATAGAGAAAGCTGCACTTGTGAGTCGTGAGCTGTTCATCTAATTCCCCTTTCGCCTGTCGCATGCCTGTGGACTATGCTCAGCTCACCACCCTTCACCCATACATAATCATGAAGAAAGAAAATTATATTATGTGTGTATCTCTGTATGTAAAATGTACGTAAGTGGTAAATATTAATTCATCTATACAATAAAAATAATCTTGAATTTTAAAGTATAATTTTTAAAATTAAATTGAATTAATCGACTAAATCAGTTTAATTATATGTTGACAAGTTAAGTGATTTAGGCCCTATACCGGTTTATGGGTGAGCCCGGCCTTGGCCTAAGTTCCTTGGGCTTTACTAGCCCCTCGGTTGTAATCTGGGGGACTTAAATAGGCTGGCTTAGTCAAATATTTTTTAAAATATATAAAAGAAAATTATGAAAACTTTTATAAACCCATTGGAAGGGTTAGGAAAAGAAAAAAAAAAAGTCAGTGGTCAACCAGGACGTTTTGCTAATCGCACAACAAGGAAAATACTCAAGTCCTTGTATAGAAAAATTGGAGACTTCAAGTTATTCATACTTGGTAAAATAGTGTCTATATAGATTGGCTAGCCAATTGTAGTTTTCAGCATGACCATGATCTTCACGAGCATAATCATCCTCCTTCAAGAATTGATCTTTTTTGGGCTGATTATGCTGGAGTAATCCTACTCTGTGATGTAATCTTTTAGTGTTTTTACTTTTTTTGGCTCCAGCCCCTTATTTTATCAAAAAATTGAATTAAATTGATAAATTGTACATTTAAATATTTATTAAATTATTTTTCCATTCTCTATAATCAAATAACAAAATTTAGTTTATTTAAATTTATTTTCTCTAAATCAATTTTATTTAAACCGAATTTCTATAAATTCACTTTAAACAAACTCATTTTATATAAAATAAAACCCGCAAGAACAAAATAGTAACTCAGCAATCATACCGAACGCACTTGACAAGCAAAATTAAAACCCTGATGAACTGAATTCCTAAACATCATCAAATTAAGACCCAAATTGCTATGAAAAGTCAAGAATTTAACTTCGAAATTTTCTCAATAAATTTATAATATTGTTTTCATTTATCATCTCTATATCTAATAAAAACATGGACGTCCGAACAATAATTTGCAGTCCACCTCCTTCAAATTTTTAATTGGATATCCCAAGAAAATAGCCCCCTTCATGTTGATGCTTCTCTCTCCCTCTTTCTCCCCCATTGAATTAACTCACTGGCCATGATTGGGTTTGTATGTCTTCATATATCAGCACCATTCGGTTGGAATAAACCCTAACATCTACTCATGCAACACCTTGAATCTTAGCTAGCTAGATACATACCATTGTTATGACCTGTTTCATTCTCGGGTCGTGCAAGTTGTATCAATTTCTTTCTTAGTAGCTTCTATCTTCCCCACACCCGCAGGAAAAAGAAAAGAAAAGAAAGGAAAAAGAATGAGGTCAAATTTACGTCCAGCAGATGTTTGGTGTACGTTCAGAATTTTTAAGTTATGACACTGCAAATGTTTGGAATATCTATGATCTAATATTCAAAATAGAGATAAGTATATTGAAAATTTGAGAATACATATATAAAAAAGGAGGGTCATTTTGGTTCTCAAAAGTGCATACTCTTTAGGGTTTTGTGTTAGGAGCTTTTTTACGTTCATGTTTCCTATTCTTTTTTTAGAGATAACCAAATACACCTAAGAAAAGCATTTCTTTTTCCAATTAAACAAACAAGCTAAGGAAAGAAAAACAAAAGAAACAAACTGTGGTTTTTCTCTTTCATAACAAAATAGCTAGATTCTCAAGAAAGTCTGCAAATCAAACATGCCCTAACTTACAACAAATAATCAGTGAAATGAAACATTTGTAATATCAACATGAAACGAAGGTTAATTTTAACAGCTATGAAGTTTAAGACAAGTATGAACGGAGTGTCTGGCACCAAGCTTTATGGCATGTTAACCAACAAAAAAAAAAAAAACTGCACAAAAAAATATGTAAAACATCTTAAAGCTATACCAATGATGTTCATGTAAATTTATAGATTTTCCTGAGCATATATAGCTGTATGTACGTGCTCTTAAAGGAATACACAATGTACCAAAATACTTTGGATTTTATTGTCTAAAATTTAGCAGTTATTATCCATTTATTTCAGCGTTTTGCTATCAAACAAACAAGTTGTGACAGTGGGCCAAGTTGGTAGCGATGACGGAGAGCTAGTTCTCTGAATGATAAGATGATGAGGATGGAGACTTTCAGTTTGTATTGACTGCAAATTTGTGAAAGCTACTTGTAAAACTTGAAGCAACCCATCCGTCCCTACATGAGGCCTTTTGTATACAGGCTTAAAGATCTCTCTCCTTTTTCCCTTTCATTCTAGAATCTCTCTCTTTAAATTTTATTGCTATTTTTATTTTAATTTATTGCAAAAGTACACTTAGATGGTCCCTATGCAAAGCTTACCTCATAGTTTTAATATCGATTCTTAAAGCATAAATAGAAATCAAGGATAAGATATGTTCTTATGGTAGTGAAATCAAGTGGGCTGGCAAGAACTAAGCCTCGTGCATTTATATTGCACGAAAAAAGAAAAAAAAAAAAAAAAGAGAAAAAGAAACTCAAAATTTAATGTTCTATTAGTTAGGGCAATCTATGTACATCCATCCCGAATCTAATACAAACCTATATTTGTGCACAATTGCTAACCTACCCACCAAAACACCACCTCGAAACGACTCCTACCTCTCTGCTCCATCAGAAAAATAAACCTAACAGAAAAAGAAATTAAAAAGAAAGAAAAAGAAAATGAAAGGACTAAAGCTATTTCATTTTCTCCAATATCAAACTCTCCAGCTAGTCTCTGAAAGCTTTGATCTCAATTATATGGTGCCTTAGATTGCTTGGCCTGTCTTTCCATTGTTGCTCGATGTCTTGGGCGATTCTTCGTGCATCCAATGACGTTCCAAGCAGTCCACGCTTAGTGAATCCGACAGCATACAATCCATTTTCACCTTTCCATCCAAATGGGTATGGTTTCCTTGGAAAACCATCCTTCTCAGAGAAAAATTTGTCCTCCTGAAAACATCAGTTTCAAGCCCTTCTGAATCTTCTTATCGATCTTTGATATATATGGATAAAGATAAATTTTTAAGATAGCAACTATCTGTGGTTCATGGAGGAGGAAAACCAAGAAAAAGGATGAATATATAGATCAGATACCTTCAACCAAGTAGGAACATTGCTTTTGTAGCCAGTAGCCAAGATGATAGCGTCAAAATTCTCCACCCTCCCATCTACAAACTCCACTGACTGACGCTTTAGTCTCTTTATTCCCTTGCAAACCTACACAAAAGGTGAAAGTGCACATCACCAACTATATATATGCTATTTTATCTTCATATAGCCAACCAACCTTTTGCATACCATTTTTATTATTAACTTATAGATCATTTGCTTCTCTAAACCACAAGTTCTGGACCTATTATTACCTTTTCTTTCTTTTCTAAGTTAATTACAACTCCTAAAATAAGTTCAATACCATCCATTTTGTTATTTTAGATGAAACAAATAACAAAACTATATAAAACTGAGAAAAATTAAAGTTGATTAAGTTTGACATGTCATTTCTTTAACTTAATTTCTGTAGTCATAAATTATTTTAGTACTTTAAGGGTAATTAATATTTGAATAATTTCTTTCATGGGTTTTAGAACCAACCTTGATGCTTCCTCTTCTTATCTTGTCTAGTGTTCCAACATCCAACACTGGCGTCTTGCCGGTAAGGCTCTTAAGTTCAAGAGGACCGAGCTTGGGTCTGGTGAGACCGAGCCGAGCTATGTTGCCAAGCATGAGTCGGGACATGAGGAGTAGAAAATGATCCACAACCCGCATAGGGAACCACTTGAGCAACCACATGGACAACCCAAAAGTTGATCTTCCAAAAATCTCTTGCGGCAACACATGCACCTGCAATCCAGAGAAAGGTTTCTCTTAAGAGAGTTTAGACGATGCTTTAGGCCACCCCTAATGAAAGGTACCATGGCATCTATCTTCTATCCCCATTACTTTCATGCAACTTTTGGGACCTTTTATCTATTTATTTATTTTCTTGAATGACCAACTTTTAGAACTGGCGTGCGGTGCTTTGCAGGGAAGAATTCACAGAGCGTGGGATGAAAGAATTTGGAGCTGCTCGGAATAGTACTGCGCATGCAACCCTCTTCTAATAAAGTGATCTGCCAAAACTTTCATTTTTTATTTTTTTAAAATCTAATTAAAATTCCTTTTTCAATACTGCTTCCTTTAAACAGCAAAGCCCGTTTACTTAAATTTAAATAAATAATTAAATAAAAGATTTGAAGTAAAAAAAAGGGTGGAAGAGAACTCACTGAATCTCGAACCACAATGGAGGGTTGAGCATCGTAGTTGCAAAGATCCAAACACACCTCCATACCCGAATTCCCGCACCCGACCACCAAAACTTTCTTCCCCCTAAACCCTTCCCCACTCTTATAATTGCTAGTGTGAACAATGGGCCCTATAAACTCACTTATCCCTTCAATTCTCGGCAAAACCTCCTCTGCGTTCTCCCCAGTTGCCACTACTAACCATTGGCAAACGTATTCCGTCTCCTCCATTTTCAACCGGAAACCCGAACCCGCCACAACCCGGATTCCCCGTCAAACTCCGCGCCTACTACCGTCCTGTTGAAAACCGGTCCAACCCGAACCGTGTTGCATAGGACTCCAAGTAGGAAATAAACTGTTGTTTCGTGGGATAGTTTGGGAAATTCGAGGGAAGGGCATGAGCGGGAGCTCGCAGTAGCGCTTGGGGAGGTGAAGCCGGAGCCGGTCGTACGTCTTGTGCCGCCACAGCGAGGCTATGCAGTCGGCTCGCTCCAAAATAAGGCCCGGTACCCCTCTCTCTTTAAGGCAGGCGGCCGTGGCCAACCCAGATGGACCCGCTCCCACTATGATCGGAACCGGAACCCATTCCCGTTTAAGTGACGAAGATGTGGCCATTTTGGGCTCGAAATGGTCGTGAACTGTTTTAGCTCCTATTTCTCTGGAGTAATCCATTAATGGAGTTCATGCAATTTGAAAGACAAAAGACCGAGTTAAACTCAGATCGATAAACCCAAAAACCCTTTTGTTTTCTCTCTCTAGGTCTTTCTCCAAGATTTTGGGGCTTATGGATTAGGCTTATCAAATAAGCAGATATTGGGAGAGATTATAGGGATGAATTTGAATGGATTTTTCCAAATTGTTATGTGGATGTGGAGCTTAATTTTGATAAATGTTTGCTGGGTTCAACGGTAAAGAGGAGAGAGAGCGAGAGCAACGGGAAGAAGGAGAAACTCAAGTAGGTGAGAAAATAGAGACGTGAATCACACGATGGAATTGAAGCAAGGAGGAGGGGAGTTTGTTTTATATATAAGAATATGCACACACACACACACACACACACACACACACACACACATATATATATATATATAATAAATAAATGTAATCGGTATAAGTGTAAAAAATTTACATCAAATTTTATATCATTAATTTGGTAAAAATTAACTAATGAGATTAATTAACTGTAAATTAATTATTAAAAATTATTGAAACACAACTGTAATTAATTTTGTCGTTGATTTGAATCAAATTAACGGTATAAAATTTGGTGTAAATCTTTTATACTTATATTTAATGTCAATTAATCTATTTATATATATATATATATATATTATGTTTAGATGTTTGAGTGAGATTGAGTGGTAACGAACATGATCCTAGCTGGGTTATTTCCAAGTTAGTAGGAAGTTGATAACTACAATCTGACCTAACAGCAACCTCTCCCTCATTTCGATTGGATTGTTCTTTTTTTTTTATTTTTTTAAATTAACCTTTATTTAAATATTAATTGATGATCTAACTATTAAAACAGATAAATAAAAGCATTATTAGGAGAGAGTCAAATTGTTAAAGGATGTAAAACATATGCTGCGAATGCAGAACACTAGAATGATTTTGATGTAGGGGTAAACCAAGGGATGGTGCAGACGATGACATGTGACAGGATGGTCAACTATCCTCCTATTTTAAGTGCATCTTGACGGACTCATATAAAAATAATTTCTGACAAACATCCACACATGAGATTTGCATTTAATACCAAAATCTGGCAAGACAAACTAAACATAGCATTAGTGGTTTGGTGTGTACACTGTTGGGTGGAATTTTAAGACTAATTTGACCAAATACAAAAGTTAAATTTGTTATTTTCTGTTAAAGAGATGGAAGGGAGATAATATTTTAAGAGTTAGACATAATTAGAGGTTAGATATGAAATAAGGATTAAATTGAATAAATTTTATCGCCTTCATGATATTAATATAAATATGTAGATTAGAGTTAGAATTAGGTCTTATTTTGTCCTTGTACTTGGTTTTGGCCGCTTAGTTTGGGATTATGAAGTCTTTTTTCTTGTGCAACATCATCAGACAACGATTTTTATTTATTGGTCTGTTTAGTTGTTTATTTATTTCGAATAACCTTTCTTACTTAAAATTTTTCTAACTTTATAAACTTATCAAAATTACAAAATCATCATGTCTAGCTATTTTCACTTTTTGTTATAAAAAGAAATAAAGCCCAAAGTTTAGACTAATCCAACCCCATCTTAACATGTTGAAAGTTATTCAAATAAACAAGTGGACAGTGTTATTAGTAATTATTATTATAGTTTCTGAAGGATGAAGGAGGACGAAGGAAGAGGTTTGAGGTAGTGTGTGAGCGTGTAATAAGTGATTGTGCGCAGCTGGATGCATATTCTAGCTTCTCGAGTGTTTGCAAGTCAGCTTCTAGCTTTTATTTCTAATCTTTTTACTGGAAAAAAAAAAATAAAGCGAAAGCAAGAGCTTTAAGTTGAGGGAGGGACACTTTGTAGTTTCAATAACATATTTGTAATTAAATAAAAGCATTGAGAGAAGACTTTTTGACATTTTTGCCCTCCAACATTTATTTTTATTTCCACCCATCTTCTGTCTTCCCTCTTCTTCTCTTAATTGCTTACCCATCTAACAATCAGCCACCATAACATAGTCAACTCTCCCAGCAATGGTGTCTCTTTCTTACCCCCTACCACGGACAACCCAACCTAGATCGTCGCACACAGTGCCCCACAGTTCACCATTTCATGTGACTACTAGAACAAAAAAAAAATTCTAGTCAAAATCAAAAGTATATATAAGAGTAAAATAATTTTTTTGTTCTAAAAATTTCTTTACTATTATTTTATAAAAATTATTTTTTAAATACTACTTCACTGATTTTAGGAGTTTTTTTACATATAAAATATAGACGCACTCTATTTTTAATTAAAATTAATTTAATACAAACTTCTATTTCCAACATTCATTTCTAATTTTTCAAAAACTCTCAAGACCCTAAAGTAATGTATGGTACGATGGAATAATGTTGAGCGAATAGGAATATGAATGGAAATAGGAATGAGAATCTTAAAAAATATATATTTGATAAGCACTTTAAAATGGGAACATTCATTCTCTAGGAAATGAAAATTTCATTCCCTAATGAAATCCTCGTTCAAGTATATAATTATTATAATATCCTTTACTTTTTAAGTAAATGATAAAAATATCATATAGATAAAAAAATTATAAATATTTACAACATTATATCTCAATATACTATTATTATATATACATAGTATAATATAATAAATTATATAATCTGACATATTGTATTATATATATTATATAATTTATTATATTTATATATAACTTATTATATATATATATATACAAATACACATATATATAAATTTGATATTTTAATATTAGAATAAAAAATTAATTTTTTAATATATTGAGAATTTATTAAAAGTTATTTTTAAATCTTTAAATCTTCGTAATAAAAGATATTTTGTCTTTTAACATATTTTTTTTTACTTTTTTACATCTATTTCAGTATACCAAGATATAATAATAGAATATAAATTTTCATTCTATCAATATATACCAAATATATTTATAAAAATCTTAATTTTATACCATTTCATTCAATTCATATCCCTGCTACTAGTTTTATTTGATCAAAAATTATCTTAACGGACCTTATGCCATCTAACTTGTATGCGGGTGTTCTGCAGTGCTATTTTGTGTTATAGGAATCTTGGGCATGATGCAAGCCTATTTATAGCCCATCCTGCACTACTAACCAGCAGATTTTGGTGCCTTTTTCAGGCTATTCATGATAGACTTTTTGACTATACCATGTGTGAAAATCAAAGATGCATCGCATGTCTACCAAGATCACATTCCACGATCTCTTACAAACAATTATATTTTAGATATTCTGTCATGTTTTTCCTGTCGTTTCATATATTTCATGTTAGATTCTTCGTCTCACACTCTATCGTATTATCATTTTCGTATAAATTTATGTTGTCATTTTATTAATTTTTTTAGAATGAGAAGTTTATAAAAAGTTTGAAATATGAATAAAACAAATCAAAATTTGTGGACTTGACTGAAAGATAAGAGCCGGATGGGGAGCAAAGCATAGTCTGATAGATTTCAAATAACCTAGCAAAGAACACGACAAACAAGAAGATAGTAAGACACTCTAAAGATGGTGCATGTGACAACTTTTGTCAACAGGCTAAGTAGTAGTATTTAATCAAAAGACAATTGCACGTGTTGCTTACACTAGATCACGTGTGTTATGACATATTATTGTTGATTTTAAATAGTTGAATGTGCATATAACACAAAATCTTTATTGCGTGATTTTCAATTGAAGCAATGCTTTAAAATTCGAATCAGTGATCAAATTAGTAAAATCACGATTCAATCAATTTGATCATCAATTAAATCAATTAATAATAAAAAATTTTAAAATATATAAATTAATAAATATATTATTTAATCACAAAAAATGATAATATTCTCTATTTTATTACGAGTATGATATAATTTAAATTTCATAATTTAAAAATAAAAGTTTCAAATAAAATTAATAAATACATTATTTTAAACTGATTGTACCAAATGGATCAAAATCAATCAATTTTTCCAATTCTTGACCAATTTTTATCAAATTTGATTGGTCATACTCTAACTCTAGTTAAAGAGTTTCATTTAGACCATTTATCAAGTTGATTTATGATCAAACCGTTGTAACTGGTCGGTCCAATCCAAGTTTCAAAGTATTGGTTTCAAGGAAAGAGAGAGAAAAATGAAGAATTATTTATTTATTTATTTATTTTGAAAGATGTCAAACAACCTAAGAGAGTAAGGCGACAAACAATATTAGTTAACTTTTACAATACAGTAGCTACATAGCGCACCCCTTAACAATGGTGCACGCGACAACTTTGCCAATTTGCTAGTGTTGCCGAACACGTGACAATTTTACCGCCGAGTGCTTAAAGTTATTTGATGGCAAACCAACTAAGCCATACCCTTGTTCCTTTAACTCTTCCCTCCGCACAACCCATATCAGCCTATATTTAGATAACCGAAGACAGTTGATTTGTTTTGGCATATGGGTATAAGGTTTCTAGAGGGCTGGGTACCTGAAAGAATATCCTATGAGTTGATAAATAGTATAGATGGTTTTTGTTTTCTGTTTTCTGTTTTCGAAAAGCAAAAAGAAAAAGGTAATGCAAGATTCCTCAACCAGATGGTTCAGCAACCAAAACAGTTTGGAAACAAAGTGGGGTGGTAAATGAGAATCAAACAGCACTACTCCAACTCTCTTGAAGTGAACCGGTCATCACTTGGAGCCTGCTATTATTGTCCTTTTACAACACCAAGTACTCTCCTCTCCCCTCACCACCCATAGCTAGATTATGGAGAATCTCTTCGTCATGTTGTGTTTGTCTGCATTTGCTCCCAAAAAATTAAATGAATAATAACTAATTCCTATTGCTATTAAATTTTTGCTTCTATCAGGACACGTATGTATAAAGAGTGTTTATTCGTGTTTTCCCTTTTGGTTAATTT